TTTTTATTACATAAATTTTATATATTAAAACAGAAATCATGACGTTGTTCATGTGTGATTTTTCTTATTTGAACCATCTCTTAATGCTTTTAAAATTATTATAACAATGCTAATTTTTGTTAGTACATGAATATTGCATTATTTAGTTACCAATTCATTAAAATAAAATATGTATCGCTTAAAAATAGGGATTTCCGAAACTATCTAACAAATTGAACCCATTATTCAATCCATATAACAACTTTAAGAATTTACATATATCAATTTATATCATATAAATATATTATATCATGTCATTGTATTAAACTCTAAGAATATACATATATCAATTTTTAATTTCAAAAAACGCATATATCAGTTCAAGAACATAACCCATGCATAGCCATGATGCCAGAAAAAATATTTTGCTTTTGCATACACATAATATATATCATATAATTTTTTTTGAGCAACATATTATATCATTGTTTAAAACTCTAGAAACCCATGCGTACAGTGCCATTATGCCAGAAAAAATCGTGAACATATAACCATGAGTTCAAAAGCTCCATATCAGAGAAATTATTTTATTTTGCATGCACACAAAATATATATTATCTTATAAAATATTTAAGAGATGGTCCAAATAAGAAAAATATCTAAAATACTATTCTAATATAATAATGTATTTAGATAGATGTTTTAAAAAATACAAATTTATAAAATTTTATTATATGTATAATATTATCAACAATAGAAACATTATTATAAATTGGATAATATATAAAATTAATGATTATTTAATTATTGAATTCTTTTTATTATAGACTATATAACATTTTAATATAATAATAAAATCTGCATGGTGGTGCAGATCAAGATCTAGTATCCATTAAAGATGTTATATATATACCATCCGCTGATATGAGTGTTACAGAGAAAGTTTTATCCTAAAATTATCGACGAAATTATTCATCAACATCACATATACTATCGTTAGTTTATTATCATTTGTAATAAAAATATATATAATGATGTATCTAGTGTTAAGAAAAAAAATATACTCACATAGCCTTTTAAGTTTTGAAATCTGGTCTAGTTAAGTAACAAATGAGAGTTGATTTTTCTTTGACATCGTTAATGCGATCTCTTATATTCGTTGACACATGCGTTGTGCAAACAATATACATTCTTTGAATTTTAAATAATAATTAAATCCTACATCACACAAAATAAAAATGTGGGACCAGTTGAACCCACATTTGACTTTTCTTGGTCAAACATTTTGGCGTCATGCATGATCTTCTCTATTCTTATTATAAATACCTTCAAAAGCCATTATAAACACAACAATTTATTTTATTCTTATTCCATCGTTCAATCTCAAAAATGAAACATCCAAGAACAACGTTGCTAGCTTTGATCTTGTTCGTTGTCATCATATGTGAATCAAACTCATCATTAGCAAATTCCGAGACTTTCACACAATGCCTAACGTCAAACTCCGACCCCAAACATCCCATCTCCTCCGCCGTGATACTCTCCGGAAATAGCTCGTACTCCTCCGTACTAGAAGCCTACATCCGTAACCTCCGGTTCAACACCTCCACAACTCCAAAACCCTTCCTGATAATCGCCGCAACACACGAATCACACGTACAAGCCGCAGTTACTTGTGGCCGACGTCACAACCTTCAAATGAAAATCAGAAGCGGTGGCCACGACTACGACGGTTTGTCATACGTTACCTACTCTGGGAAACCGTTCTTTGTCCTCGATATGTTTAACCTCCGGTCGGTTGATGTTGACCTAGAGAGTAAAACCGCGTGGGTCCAAAGCGGTGCCATTCTCGGAGAAGTTTATTACTATATATGGGAGAAAAGCAAAACCCTAGCTTATCCTGCAGGGATTTGTCCATCGGTCGGTGTCGGCGGCCATATTAGCGGCGGAGGTTATGGTAACATGATGAGGAAGTACGGTCTTACCGTCGATAATACTGTCGATGCAAGAATGGTCGACGTCAATGGTACAATATTATAATCCATATATATCTCTAGCTTCCGTAATTTACGTGCTGGTTAAGTAAGCTTTACTCAATGATGTCCTAAAATCAACCGAACTCATTAGGACAGTGATTTTGGTCAAAATTTTGTCAAACATAAATAACAGATTATTCAGTTTAGACAATCACCTATTAAATGTGTTACACCTTCATTTACATTTATATATTACAATATATTAAAATATTGGCTCACTATATTTGAAAATTACGTACAGGAAAAATTTTGGATAGGAAATTGATGGGAGAGGACCTCTACTGGGCAATCAATGGAGGAGGAGGAGGAAGCTTCGGCGTCGTTTTGTCCTACAAAATAAACCTCGTCGAAGTCCCCGAAAATGTTACCGTTTTTAGAGTTTCCCGGACGTTGGAGCAAAACGCGACGGAGATAGTTCACCAGTGGCAACAAGTCGCTTCGGTGCTTCCCGACGAGCTCTTCATAAGAGTAGTCATCGACGTACAAAACAGTACCGTTTCTTCTCAAAAGACAGTTAGGGCAACTTTCATAGGTATGTTCCTGGGAGACGCATCAACGCTTCTGTCCATACTAAACCGGAGTTTACCAGAACTAGGTCTGGTCCGATCAGACTGTACCGAGACGAGCTGGATCCAATCGGCTCTTTTCTGGTGGAATATCCGTGTCGGTACGTCAGAGACATTTCTTCTCCAGAGGAACCAGACCGTGAATTATCTCAAGAGAAAGTCGGATTACGTCCGCGAACCGATTTCAAGAACCGGTTTAGAATCGATTTGGAAGAAGATGATCGAGCTTGAAATCCCAACGTTGGCTTTCAATCCATACGGCGGCATGATGGCGAGGGTTCCCTCGACCGCGACTCCGTTCCCATACAGAGCAGGGAATCTCTATAAGATCCAGTACGCTGCGAACTGGAGAGAAGATAGGTTGACGAACCGGTACATGGAGCTGACGAGGGAGCTGTACCGGTTCATGACTCCTTTTGTTTCCAAGAACCCAAGACAGTCGTTTTTCAACTATCGGGATGTTGATTTGGGGATTAATTCCCACGACGGAGTTGTCAGGAGCTATGTTGAAGGTGAGCGTTACGGGAGGAAATATTTCAACGGTAATTTCGAGAGGTTGGTGAAGATCAAGACCAGAGTTGATAGTGGTAACTTCTTCAGGAACGAACAGAGTATTCCTGTGAAACCATAGTTACAATGTTTGATCAGTAAATTGCTCTTGTATAATGATTGGTGCTGTAATTTATATATTTAGTGAATAAAGTTTGATTTCTTTATGCTACTAATAGAGTAGTATATAGATGAAATATTGATTATGAGACAATGTGGAAGTACCATATCTAAGTGAATAAGATTTAAAGAGTTCTACACCAGGTCTATGGTTCAAATCCCAAAATACGCAAATTATTAGAGAAAATATTTATAAGAGATCTTTAGCATGGCACCAGTTTTACTAAACCTTTTTACTAATCCACATTAACTTGGCTTGGAATGTTGGTTTTCCATTTGATTCCGGTTTGTTTTTTCGATTTGCGATTTTTCGCTTCTAAAATTATATGAACGGTTTGGTTATTTATGAAATTTGGTTTATCCTTGGTTTGGTTTTCGGTTTGATTTTGAGTAACAAAACTAGGAACGACTAAAATCTGATAATTTTTTTTTCCAGTTTGGTTCAGTTTGATTCATGTCTTTTGGATAATTCAAGTAAAAACAAGTTTTTCAATTTTCAAATTAAATATCATTTAATTTGGATAATTCAGTTATTTTGGGTATTCATGTAATATTAGATATAAAGGATAAAAAAATATTCGGGTAATTTTTTTTGGGCAACTCAATTTGTAAGTAGTATTTTAAAAATATTTGATAATATTTAAAACTAAACATGATCAACATTTTAGGGATATAAGATCCGCGTCTTTGGTAGGATGAAAAATGTATATATAATTATTTTTATATATTCTATGTTTTAGATATTATAAAATAATAATATATATTGAGTAATAAAAAAATTATAACTATTACATATATAATTAAATTGGTTGCATAAACAAATTTTATTAATCCAAAAAAATATTTTTCTATTTTATATCCAACGTAATTAAATTTAGATGATATTAATACATATATATATATAGTATATAGTATATTTAATATTGATATTTATTAAATGATGTTTTCTGTTCATATGGTTTTTGATCGTTATTTATGTTTTTTTATAACAACAACTTTAAATAAGTCATAACAAAACTATCATTGTGGGATGTTTAATAGTTTTAGTTATTTATATTAAAAAAAAAACTTAATGCAGAATTGAAAATTAAACATTAAGTTATCTGTTTTTCTTCAAATATTTTTCTCAAAAAAATTGGTCAAAGCACATTTTGAAATTAAAATATTTATTTAATTTATATGGTAATATTTTAATTTAAGGATATTAATATATATATATATATATATATATATATATATATATATATATATATATATATATATATATATATATATATATATATATATTTCTTAATATTTATTAAACATATAACATATATGAAAATTCTAATTATTTATTAATCTTAATTTTTAAATTATTTTATATTTTAAAATTCAACAAAAATAATAGAGGATATACTATTTTTTTTTGTAAAATCTTTATTATCTAAAACATTAATTTTCATATATACTTTTGCTATATTAGACAGTTCCGTACTTTTTATTTATGACAAGAAAGAATAACATTAATAATTAATTTATGGTTAGTTTAATAAAAATCTTATTATATATTTATATGGATCAATCTATTTTTCTAAGAATTATAGTGATGGCACATGATTACCTCAAATGTTGTATTGTTTCTCAAATAATATATAGGGATAGAATCTCCATATTGTGTAATTAACTAAGTTACAAAGATATCAATCTACTACTTTAATAAGAATAGCCGTTTGTCTGTATTCATGTCCCTTTAACAAACATATAAGAAATGCAAGCCCCCAAAACGAAGGTGATAACAAGAAACGGAAAAGCAATGGAATCTCCAAAAATCCAAACCCTAATCATCACTATTTTTCTCTTCACAATCCCAACATCATTCGCATCACCACCAAATCTCGAAAACGGTTTCACACAATGCATCACCGATTTGAAACCCTCAAATCTAAACTCCCCTATTCAAAACTTTACCTACACTCGACAAAGCCCAAAGTTCCTCACAATCCTACACAACTACGTCCGTAATCTCCGTTACTTCAACAACACGACACGCAAACCTATCGCAATCGTAGCTGCAGCCGATGTTACTCACATCCAGACTCACCTGCGCCAAGAAACTCGGCCTTCAGCTCCGGATCCGCAACTATGATGGATTGTCGTATCTATCAACAGTTGATTTCGTTGTCCTAGACATGTTCAACCTCCAGTCTATCGAGTTCAGTCCTAAACTTGAGACAGCATGGGTCCAGTCCGGTGCTACGCATGGAGAGATCTACTACAGAGTCGCCAATAAAAGCAACGATCTACGTGGCTTTCCCGCCGTAATCTGCCCCGGTTTAGGCGCTGGTGGACATTTTAGCGGTGGTGGTTACGGTAACATGATGAGAAAATACGGTTTATCGATCGACAACATTATAGACGCTAAAATCGTTGATGCTAAGGGAAGAGTCTTGGACCGAAACTCGATGGGAGAAGATATTTTATGGGCCTTACGTGGCGGTGGAGCTGCTAGTTTCTGTGTTGTCTTAGCCTGGAAGATCAAGCTTGTTTCTGTGCCAGGGAAGGTCACGGTCTTTAACGTGGAAACTGTCGGAAACAGAAGTGGCGTGAACAGCACGGAACTTGTAGTGAAGTGGCAAGAGGTCGCAGACAAGATCGATAACAATCTGTTCATTAGGTTAACTTTAAGCACAAGCAACAAAACTGTGAAGGCTTCTTTCATGGGAATGTTCCTCGGAGATTCTTCGGACCTTCTAGAAATCATGAGCAAGGAGTTTCCGGAGCTTGGTCTGAACAAAACAGAGTGTATAGAAATGAAATGGATTGAATCGGTTTTGTTCTGGCTCAGTATCCCACCCGGTACAGCACCAACATCGGTTATGCTAAACCGGATCCCTCAAAAGCAAATCTACCTCAAGAGAAAATCTGATTACGTCCAAAAACCTATATTAAGAACCGTTTTAGATGCGATATTCAAGGTTCTGTTAGAGAACCAGAACGTGACAATGGTTTGGAACCCGTACGGAGGGAGGATGAGCGAGATTCCATCGACCAAGACAGCTTTTCCGCATCGAGCAGGGAACATGTTCAAGATCCAGTACGCGACAAACTGGTTTGTGCCAGGGGAAGAAGTGGCTAACGAGTGTTTGAGCCAGACTGAGAGAGTTTTCGAAGCAATGAGCCTTTACGTGTCAAAGAACCGAAGAGAGGCGTTTTTGAATTATAGAGATGTGGACATTGGCACGAGCTTGAACTCGACGTACGAGGAAGGTAAAGTGTATGGGGTGAAGTATTTTAAGAATAACTTCGAGAGATTGGTTAGTGTGAAGAGCAGAGTTGATCCAGATAACTTTTTCCGGTACGAGCAAAGCATTCTGGTGCACTCCAGCCACTAGGGTCTAGAGAGTAGAGACTAGATATTGAAATCAAGAACTCAATATTAAGAAACACTCTTTCTTATTAATCACTGCAAAGCTTTAGAAAATTAGCTCAAAACTAAAGCTCAAACACACAACTCATAGCATATGTCATTACTCGACATTGCTTTATATAGTACAAGTAAAAACCTATTCCTAATTGAAAAACACACACGCCAAGGATCCTTATCTCTTAGAATCCTAACTTATCTAGGAATAGTCTTGCTTGTGTCACTACAAGAAAACACGTCATTTACTAGGACGGGTTTTCCTCGTTATTTCCTAGTAAATGGCCCTTTACTAGGAAATAGCGAGGAAACGTGTTTCGTCGAAAGACGTTCATCGTAAAGGTTATTTTCCTCGTAAAAGCCTAGCTACTTTACGAGGAAAAGTTTCCTCGTAGAGCCGTGGAAAAGTTTTCCTCATAAGAGCCACGTATACTTTCCTCGTAAGAGCATAGTAAACAGTTTCCTCGTAAACGCGTAGTATACCCTTTACGAGGATCTTGCTAGGAACCTTTACGACGAATTTACTTCGAAGAGTTTATGAGGATTTTACTTCGAAACTATTTTTTACTATTAAAAAAAAATATTTATAAATTAAAATTATATATATTAAAAAAAATTAAAAAAATAAATAAAAAAATATTTATAAATAACTAAATAATATACAATTAATAAGTTTTAAAATTCATAATATACAATTAAAAACTAAAAAAAAACTAAAAATGATGCTGGTCTTGATCAAATTGGTTCACGAAGTCGTCTCCAGGGTCGTTGGATGCCGGCTGTGACTGAGATGGTGGAGGCTCTTGGGATGGAAGGGCTGCGCTTTCCCGTCTCTGACGCAACACTTCCGCCAGTTGCGGGTTTGTTAGCGCCACAACGTCGAGGATACCCGTGAGCGTACGCACATGAGACTGCGTCGCCTGCAACTCCGTCTGCGTCGTCTGCAACTCCGTCCGTAGGTGCGCATTGTCATCGGCTTGTTGGTGAACATAAGCCGATGTCGCTGCGGGGACATCGTT